GTAGTAGTAGTAGTAGTAGTAGTAGTAGTAGTAGTAGTAGTAGTAGTTTTTTTGGGAGATATTCTTTTTGAACTTAAACATCGTGTGTGTTTGCTGTCGTTTTTTGCGGGCCCAAGGGCCGCACGTCTGAGGATCGTGATTCTTTGGGAATGCTTTTGCACCATCTTTCCGTCGGTCCAGCCGACCATCCTCACGGAGCTCTGGAGTTCTCTCTGTTCGAAGACAAGTGAAGCGGCGAACCCGAGGAAGTTGATCAAGCACAAGAGCACCGTGGGGAGTAGCTTGCTGATCAAGCTTTTCAAGGAGTTGGAATGATTTTTCAAGGGTCTTGCAACGTAACAGGTGTGGGCGACGATGGGGCGAGTAGATCAATGTGTTTGATCAGCACGATGAAGTAATTTTTTTCATCTGCAGATGGCGTGTGAAAACCGCTGTGTGTCGATCAACTCTCTCTTTTTGTTGCCTCCTTGACATTCTCAACTGTCGCGAACAATGTGGGACACCTCACAACTTTGGGACTGCTGGTGGTTTTCGCCACTGAGGCCTGATGTCCGAGCAATCGAAACAGCTCCCCAGATGCAAGCGACGCTATGCGACGCTGATCCATGGAGCACCCGGTTTTCCACTTTCGAAACGCCTTTACTTTGGAACGCCTGGCGTTCCGAAAGAATGAAAAAGCAAAAAGGATATCAACCCTATAGGGCACCAACCATATCCACCCCAAACCCACTCCAACCACTGACCACCTTCTCAGGAACCTTAGGGAAACGGACTGCAGCAAGACTGACCGTTTGGTTCCCCGTCACATCTTGGTTCTTGCAGTTCGGGAGGCTTTGCCGCTCACTCGGCGGGACAGTCAGTGGTGTCTCCACGTGTTGCGTCAAACCTTGGAAGCTCGATGATTGCAGCAACTTCCAAGCTCGGTGGTTTTTGGGACACCGAAGAGATCACCGAAAAAGAGGCTATTTATAGACACCTCTTGGAAGCTCGATGATTGAGTGCTCTATATGAATGCTCTACGATTCGGAGGTTTGGACCATGTTTCGCTGGAGGTTTGGAGGGAACTACTTTTTCCACAACGAGGCCCTACAGGTCCAGTCTGACGCAGGTCCAAACCTGTGTCCTTTGACCTTAAGAGTATAGTGTTATGATGAACTCCATGCAGTACAATGAGGTCAGTTCCTGACCTGCAGTTATAGGGGAGTAGTTCATCTTCGACTTCGCTTCGCCAAAGACAGACATTGGACGTCTCCCCCAAACGAAAGCTGTCCGAGCCCTCCGAGCTGTTACGCCCGTCCGCTCGCTGTGCTGCGCGCTTCGCTCAGGTTCAGTTCCACACCCAACGTGGCTTCCATGGGCTGGAGGGTACGACCGGGAACCGAAGACCGAGAGACGCGTGGAGGGAGAAGACGGCGGGTGGAGCTATAAGTATATGTCATCTTGAAGGACCAAGGACCAAGGAGGATTGGTGAGGAGTCTCAAGAGTTAGCTGTTTTGAGGTCGCAAACAGGGGGCAACTCAGGTGTTGGACCTTTTTGACACAGCTTTTCCTTGTCCCTGGCGTAGCTTCGATCCGGTCAAGCAGCCAAGCGATGCATGTGAACATTGATCTGAAGCACCAGAGTCGTAACTGATGCATTAACTTGCCTGCATGCTCACAGCATACCATCTCAATTCACATTTCCGAGTCGGTTTTGTAATGTATATATTATGAAAAGCTAGAATAAGCTCTCATCCCAAGCACGAACACGTCCAATCAGCGTCGGGATCAGCCTCCAGAAATCCAGGCAGAGCAGGAGAAGTCGACCTTGATCAAGGCGAAGGACTTCGTGCCCAAGGACAGGCTGAGACACGGAGATTCCTACGGTGAATTTCACCACCACTGCAGGTTTGAGACGTCCAGGTGAGCCTAAAATCAACGTCAAGACCCAACCACCAGCTTCAAAGTGACCTTTTGAGTCGGTTCCTTTTCGTGACACCAGGAGGCTTGTTCGTGACCGAACCATGTTATCAAGTTCGGTCACGAAGAACCAACCAGTCGTCCATCTGTGGTCGGGTGCGTGTTGCAACACCGGTCGGGTACAGTGGTGTTTGTGGTCCAAGCTGCGACCTGTGGTCGCGCCAGTGGTCCAACCTGCGTTGTTCTATGAAGCATAGCGCTCATTCAGAATCGCTCATTCAGAATGAGCGCCTGGTCAGATGAAGACACCGGCGGATTTTCGCGCTCGAAACTGAAGAGGGAGACCCCCACAGATCTCCTTGAAGACGGGGAAAATAGACCAAAACCTTCCAAAACCATCCAAATCCCATTGGGCCAGGTGGACGTGGACGCGAACTTATCACGAATCCATGTCGGACCACGGGGACGTCGAATCGAGGGCTCCGAGCGAGGTTGATCCATTTGACCTCACGAAATCTTACGCCCTTCACGGAGGCGCAAAGGGATACCCAAAACATCCTCGATATTAAGCCTACAGAATGCAGGGGGTTAAGCAGGGACCCCGACCCCTCCACCTGAATATCAACAGGGTTCCGACGCCCATGTTGTGTTTGTTCTTGCTGCTGCTGCTGCTGCTGCTGGTGCTGGTGCTGTTGCTGTTGCTGTTGCTGTTGGTGTTGTTGTTAGAGTTGTCCATTGTCCATCCATCAATAGTCAAAGATCAACCGTTCAACCCCTGCCAAGGAGAAAGGGTCTGTAATCTTCTTTGCCACTTGGCGCACATTTTCTCACGTTCATCCGTAATCGAATTGAAGACATGCGGTCGACTGTGGGGCAGATTCTCCTTCAATAACCATTGGAAGTTTTCTCACAAGATGTGAATGTTGTGCCCAAATCTCAGTTCGATTTGTGTTTTGAACCATTTTGAGCCAAACTCACGTGCTACAAGTATCTCCACCTCCACTTCTGGACTCTTGCTCAATAAAACAACATTTGCTCAATAGTATATCGGCGATATTGGTCTTCTTTTGAACATATCAAGAGTCTACATCACTTTCTCCACCCCAAACCACCGGTGACACGACCCACCACAAACAACGGTCCACCGGTCCAAGGCCAACCACACGGTCACCGCGCAGCCGGGTCCAAACGCTGTGGCCAAGATCGTGCTGCTGCGAGTGGGTCACGTGGACCGTGGAGAGGGGAAAGTCAAGTGGAGACGTCTCAGGCTAGGCATAATCCATGCATCTTCTTTTCCGTGCTATCAGGAGCATCTCGAAGTTTCTCTGGAAGTCAAAGATGTTAAGAATTGTCTTTGGATGACCCGAAAAGGACTCTCCTTTAATTACTTGGGTAGAACCAAACATAGTTTTTGGACTTCAGGATGCTATAGGAGGAGGCAAAAGGCATCCCCTAAATTCGTTGGACTGCAGGGTAAAAGATGCAGAGTGAGCATTCCAAAAAGTGTTTTTGTTCAGCCTCGAAGCATTTTGCCAGGAAGAGTTGGTCCATGTCAAATTTCTATGCGCCTTTGGTTGACATATCTAGTGAAGCTGAAACAGTTGCACAAGACCCTGGCACACAGCAAAAGTGGGCAAAAGTTCCACGTTAGAAGTTCCACAGGCTGTCTCCTGTCTCCTTTCCGGACCTGATAGGTGGTGTGCGATGTCACCCGGTCGATCAGTTCGAT